ATATTTTTTTCTCAAGTTTATCTCCTTATTCAATTAAAAATAAATTATCAAATACTAATACTAAAAAATTCATAGATAATTATTTTCTCATTAAACTTCTAAAAAAATTGAGTACGAACCACAAAGTTGCTTGCCAGCTAGTCTACCACTGTACCTATTGGGTTACTAAAAACTTTTGCTACTTCCTAGATATCTTCTATATTACATTGTCGTAAAGTTTGCCTGGACAACAGTAAAGCAACTGTCCAAGGTTTTTGTTCTGACAAAGAAATAGAGCAAAATTCGAGAAATTTTAGAATAGACATGTCAAAACGCATGAAAACATGAGGTCGAATACTCATACTATCCCCAAAAAATATGCCTCGTTGATATATAATTATTAGGCCTGGATACTCATATCATACCATCTTTTACTCTGTTTCTGATTTTCTTAGACCAGTTTTTCTTGAATAGTATTTGATTTAAGAAAGGCATCAGAAGGAGGGCCCAATTTCTGAAGATATGATTGATACTTCTTTTGTAATTAATGGAGAAGGCATTATTAGCATATATGGTCCCAGTGTTGGTGGGAACTGGAAGACAACAGACATTTTGTCTTTTCTTGTGTATAATGTATTTATTCACCCATGTGTTCAGCAAGTGCCTTATCTCAAAAAAAAAAAAAAAAAAATCATCTATATGTGTAAGGCTTAATCTCACAGAGAAGGGACTGTGATGGTTGGACGGATTGTTATGAACAACTTAAAATTGAGTTTGAAGTGCTCAGTAAGTTAGTGTTGTTGGGTTTCATCTTCTAGAAACGGATTCGAATCCGAGCGGCACCGATCCATGTGGCCCCTGACCCCGAGCGTTTTATGAGTTATGAATGTGCTTTTCAAGTCAAAGGACATGTCTCTTCAATCTTTTTGTTTTTGGTACAAAGAAAAAAAAAATAAAAAAAGAAGGGTAATGTCTCTTCAATCTTTTGTCATCATATATTGCTTTCTCTCTTAAATTTGTGGTCCAATGTTTTAATAGAGGATTAATTTCCGCTAGCGTTGCAACATGTAATCACATAGAACTGTTATGCAAAACTATGTTAGATTGCGTTTAGTGTTGACCCAAGGACTATTCCACAAGCAAACCGTAGTTTCCTAGCCTCTCCTTCTGCTT